GGAGAAGCTGGAGCTCTGATGACCAGTGAATGACAGAAGAAGATTGGTGTACCAGCTCCAGAAGAGGGAGTGAATTCATCTTTCCTCTGCATTTTTGTTCAAAGTCCTCAGCTGATTGAATGGTTCCTGTCTACACAGAGGGTGCATTTTCTTTAAATGTCCACTAATTCAAATGTCAGTGTCTTCCGGAAACACCCTCACAGATATGCCCAGAAATAATGTTATACCAGCGATCTGCATATCCCTTAATCTAGTTAAGTAGACACTGAAAATTAATCATATCAATATACTTACTGCAAATATTTTCTGTGTATGGGGAGGGGATATCTTTTTAAATGTCAAGTATATACCACTAGAAGTATTTTTAAATCACTTGCAGTATTTACCCTCCATCTGGCTATACTACCAATTTAATACACAGGTTTATTCAGTTTTTGATTTTTTAAAAAAGTTGACCACTTTTTAAAAAAAATTTAATTCATTTAATATATAAGACCTTACATTGTTCAAAAGGATAAAACAAATTATGTTCAGAAAAGTTTCACTTTAACTGTCCTTCCTCCACCTATGTCTTCCTTTCATCTATAAATAACACTAAAAACTTTGTATTGGTTTATACTTCCATTTAAAAAAAATAATAAATACATTTACAGCTCCCCTCCCTTTACTGAATACTACATATGCTTTCCTCCTATGTGCTTTTTTCACTTAACTCTAGCTCATTCCATAGTGGGATATAGAGCTCTTCATTTCTTACTACATCTGCACATTACTCCATTGTGTGAACATAGCATTATTGTTTATTCAATAATTCATTATTTGTTCATTAAACAATAAATTCATTATTTATTGTTTATTCAATAAATAAACACTGATGGACAAATTAGTTGTTTTCAGTCTTTGTGATTGCAAATAATATGGAAATAAAAATTACTATAAACTCTTAGGTCCATAAACATGTACAGTTTTGCTAGAAATTGTCCAATTTCCCTCCACAAGGGTCATACTATCTTCTATTTGCAACAGCAACATATAAGAATACGTACTGTGTCCCAGCCTTGGAAACATAGTATGTTGTTCAGGTCACTTTTTAAAGCAGCTTTATTTTCATATAATTTCCATATACCACTGTAATTTTTATATACCATAAAGTTCACCCATTTTATGTGAATATTTTTCTTTGTAAATTTACCCACTTGTGCAGTTGTGCATTACAACAATCCAGTTTTAGAACACTTCCATTACCTCAGTAAATTCTGCTGTGAGCACTTTTAACCAAATACTTGGCGTAGACTTATGTGGAGGGGTTAACACAGATGGCATAAAATTTGGTCTCACAAATCATGTAGGAACAAACCTGGTTACGCATTCTTAAATAACTTTTTCTTCTATTTTTTTCTTGTTTTAGATCTTAACATGATAGAATTCTCTCTCTCTGTCTCTTTCTTTCTGTTCATTTAGATCTCAAGATAATAAGTAAAATTTCTCCTCTCTCTCTCTCTCTCTCTCTGTCTCTCTCTCTCTCTCTGGAGCACTGTGATGGTTTTATATGGAAATTTGGCTAGGCTATCATACCCAGTTTCCAATTAAACACTAATCTAAATGTTGCTGTGAAAGTATTCTGTAGTTGAGTAAGCATCTATAGTTAGATAACTTTAAATAAAGGAGATACCTTTGATAATGTGGGTAGGTGTCATCCAATCAGTTGAAAGGCCTTAAGAGTAAAATTGAGGTTTTCCAGAGGAAGAAAAAAAATGTTGCGTTTGTAGCTTCGGCTTCTGCCAGAGAATTGTCAGCCTGCTGGCCTGCCCTACAGATTTCTGATTTGCCAGCCCCCACAATCAGGTAAGCTAATTCCTAGTCTGTCTATTATCTATCTTTTACGTATGCATACATATGTACATGTACGTATACACACACACACATTCAATTATCTTAAAAATTACTCCTTAAAAGTCTTTTTTCTATTTTGAAGACTCCTGGAATTTCTAAATATTATTGAACAACTCAAAGAGAATATTTATAAGGATGAATATGACATATATACTACCAGAGAAATAGGACATTCTATCTCCTGTTGTTCCACTTATCTGGTAGAACTCTGATATGTGCACCTCACCACTACCAAACCCCAGTTCAACCATAAGGACAGTACAATCTTTCTGGATGTTCTCTCAGCCTTTACAGGTCTCGTGTTTTTGACTATTCTCTCCAGCATATAACCACTTAGGATAACTGGATACATCCATGGCAAACAGCAGCATCAGATATGCTTATCTAGATTTTTACTTTCTTGTTATTTATGACTATCTATGACAAGGATCTTCCTTCTTTTCCCAGCAGTTTAGCCAAGTATTTTAAAAGATGTTTAAAAAAATATTTTGTCCAGATTATTTAGTCCAACACTGGAAGATTTTCTTTGGACATCTAGTCTTCCGTGTAACCAGAAATGGAAGTCATGTTAATTCTTATAGATATTCTCTCTGGCCGGGCGCAGTGGCTCACGCCTATAATCCCAGCACTTGGGAGGCCGAGGTGGGTGGATCACGAGGTCAAGAGATTGAGACCATCCTGGTCAACAAGGTGAAACCCTGTCTCTATTAAAAATACAAAAGTTAGCTGGGCATGGTGGTGCACACCTGTAGTCCCAGCTACTTGGGAGGGTGAGGCAGGAGAATTGCTTGAACCCAGAAGGCGGAGGTTGCAGTGAGCCGAGATCATGCCATTGCACTCCAGTCTGGGTAACAACAGCGAAACTCCGTCTCAAGAAAAAAAAAAAAGAAAAAAAAAAGATATTCTCTCTGAGTATCTCGATAATATTTAGAATATTCCAGGAGTCCTTAAGGTATAAAAGGACTTTAAGATAATTGATTTACAGATATTTTAACTCCATATATACTCCCTCTTACCACGTATATGCCCACGAATGTGGTCTGATGGTTCTCCTTTCTTGCCTCTCATCATAACCAACCTTGTACTATTGTGCAAAAAGAGAGCACTTCACACCCATTCTGAATCTTACTCATGCTTTGCTTTGTGACACAAAAACCTTCTGGATGACAAAGGATAATTTAAGAATTAATAGCTACAGAAGAAGAATTCCATGAAAGCAAAACAAAGGGAGCCACTGTGCAAAATGTGAAAGCAGTCACTGCCACTCTGGATCTCATGAAGACAGAGAGTAGATTGGTGGTTACCAGAGGTCAGAGAGAGTGGTGGGGAGAGGGAGATGAAGATAAGCTGATTAATAGGTACAAACATATGGTTTGGTAGAAGAGATAAGATCTAGTGTTAGATCAGTAGGGTGACTACAGTTTACCATGAATTATTGTGTATTTCAAAATACCTAGAAGAGAATCATTCAATGGTTCTAGCCTAAAGACAAATATTTAAGGTGACAGATATCCCAAGTACACTGATTTTATCTTTACACATTATAAGAATATATTAAATTATCCCATGTACCCTCAACTTATGTACATCTATTGAGTATAAATTTAAACACAAAAAGTAAAGCAGCAGTGCCTTGTTTAATCTGGACACAGACTCTTAACAATGCTTCAAGCCTTCTCTATCTAAGAGTTAGGATTCAACAGTAAGACTATTGTCACAGGAATATGTATTAACATTCTTTTCATTTTCAAATCAAAGTAAGCCTTTTATAACAGAAAGTACAGTCATGTGCCACATAATGACATTTTGGTGTAAGATGAATGAACTGCATATACAACAGTTGTCCCCAAGATTATAGGGAATTTGCATAGAAGTCTGATATATGGCACTAGATTGATATTGGCACTGCAGATCAAGTAGGGGAAATAACTGATAATCAGTAATGGTGCTGGGACATTTGGTTTTCCATATGAAAAATACATAAAAATATATATGCCACCTAGTTTGTGTAAGTACACTCTGTCATGTTTGTACAATGATAAAATAACCTAACAATGCATTTCTCAGAACATAGCCCCATCATTAGATGATGTATGACTGCACAAGTTTTATTTGGCTCATTAGTTTGACAATAAGGGCTGCCTTTGTACCTCAAGATGGACAGGCAGACATCCTCCACAAACTGAGTGAGCTAACTATGCAGCTTCAAGGTTATGATGAAAGATATACTTAGAGCACATGATCTATACAATATGTCAGAAGTTATGTCTTTTAAAATACTTACATTTATAGTTAAAAAACAACAAATGCGAAGTTAAAAATGTGTGGAGATGAGATACATAACTTTAAAAAGTTATTTTAGGACTTAAATAAGTTTGAAGATTATTAATTTATACCATTTTTTTCTCTAACATTTTGGTTGTTTTTAAAATTGCTATTACAATTACCATGTTAGTACTTTTATCCTTTTAGGAATAGATTTTAGAATTAATAGTTCAACCTCTTTCACCTAGCTAAACTGAAAAGAACAATCAAAGGTACTACCCAGATGTGAAATAAAGTGGAATTTTGGTTGAAAATTAGTTTTGGGCTGGGCACGGTGGCTCACGCCTATAATACCAGCACTTTGGGAGGCAGAGGTGGGTGGATCACGAGGTCAAGAGATCAAGACCATCCTGGTCAACAAGGTGAAACCCTGTCTCTACTAAAAATACAAAAATTAGCTGGGCATGGTGGTGTGTGCCTGTAGTCCCAGCTACTCGGGAGGCTGAGGCAGGAGAATTGCTTGAACCCAGGAGGCGGAGGTTGCGGTGGGCTGAGATTGTGCCGTTGCACTCCAGTCTGGGTAACAACAGTAAAACTCCGTCTCAAAAAAAGAAAATTAGTTTTGATTTTAATGTGCCTTTAATAATTAGTGTAACCTCATTTTAATGACATACACAGTGTGCTTGTTTTAGCATTATATGTAGTAGTCAAATATCAAAACAAATTATGGCATATTTATACAACAGAATACCTGAATTAAAATGGATGAACTAATGCAATACACAATTTGTGGATTAACCTGATAAATAATGTCGAGTAAAGAATCCACACACACAAGTGCATACTGTATAAATCTGTTTATGTAAAGTTCAAAAACAAGCAAAATGAATCAAAGGTGATGAAACTCAGAAAAATTGCTCTTTGGGAGGTAATGGCTGAGAAAGGGCAGTGTTGAGGCTCTGAGGTGTTGCTGTTATTCTGCATCTTCATTTGGCAGTGGTACACAGGTGTTTACAACATAAGTATCTATCAGGCTGTATACACCTTTTCCCACTTTTTGAATATATGGTATTCTTTAGTAAAAGTTTACTAAAAAATAAAAATAAAAAAGACGTTGCACTTCTTGTTAGCAAAATAAAACCATGGCAGGTATTTTGGTAAATATTCTATTTTTCTCATCTTCTAATGTTGCTGATGATGGGGATGGTATTCAGGTGAATGCCTTGTTGATTAGAATATCATTTTGCTTTAGCCTGTGCAGCCAATGCAGCTTCTTCACGCAACTTAGCCTTCTTTGCCAAGTTCAAACTTGCTAAGGATTCATGTCGTTCTACAGCCTGTGGGGGGGGGGAATTTTATATATATAATTATATTTTTATATATTATTTTATATAATATATATGTTTAAATATATAATTATATATATAATATATTTATGCATAATATATAATTATATATATAATATATTTATGCATAATATATAATTATATATATATCTCACTATGATTTTGGAAAGTGGAAACATTTGTATTTTAGACAGAAATACATGGGAGAGAATAGAATTAGAAGTTCTAACATACGTTCATAGTGGGAAGAGAGAATAGACTGAATGGGTAAAGAGGCCATCTTTGAAGTTATGACAGCATAGACTTGTTCAGAAGTGAGGAAAGCTGTAAGTCCTCAAACTGGAGGACATGCAAAGTCCTTAGTAAAATAAATAAAAATTTAATAGATATTGACAGACACTTAGTGTGAGTCTCACACTTAATATAGCCAAAATAGAGAGCTGGCATATTTTGTGCCCCCTGCCTACCAGTCTTTACCCAACCATACACATCTCAATAAATGGCAGCATCATCCACCCTCTTGCTCAAGTCAAAAAACCCATGCCTTTGCACTTCTTTATTCAATTGTTTGTTTCTGATTCCACAATGAATTCACCACAAAGTTTTATCCTTTTTACTTCCCCAAATATACCTCAGCTTGCTAACCTCTTCTCCATCTGCCACAATTTCTTTAAGGTACGTGCATTGTTATTCAAAATGAAAAATGAATTGGAGACAGGCAAGAGGGACAGTGGTGAGACCATTTAGAAGATATTGCAATGAACCAGATGATAGATATATATCAGTATCTCAGGAGAGATACTGAGGAGTGCTCCAATTGGGGCTCTGTTTTGAAAGTGGAACCAATGGGGTTGCTGATATATGACAATTTATCCATGAGCAGCTAGAAAGATAGAGTTGACATCAACTGAGAGAAGGAAGACAGTACAGAAAAGGGTGGCTCAGGGTTGTCTGGGGGAAGATCTAGAGTTCAACTCTTGACATGTTAAGTTGGAGATGTCCATTAGACATCCAAAGGGAAATGTTAAGCAAGCAACTGACCATATGAGTTTGAAGTGCAGAAGGAAGGTGTTAGATGAGATATAAATTGGAGCGTCCTTGGAAAATAGAAGGTATTTAAATCCAAAAGACTTGGCAAGATCCCCAAGAGAGTGAGTGTAGATAGAGAACAGAAAGACTAAAGACTGATCCATGGGAGGATTCCACTGTTATGAGGTCCAGGAGAATAGGAGAAACCAGCAGAGTTAACTCAAAAGACGTGGCCAACCGAGAACCTACGTGAGTGTAGTGCCAAGGAAATCAAGCAAAGAAAATGTTTCATGAAAGATAAAAGATTTTCATTCCCGGTGCTTTCACTTTAGAGCTTCTGAGGATTTTTATGGAAGGACAACGGCTCGTTTTCATTCTCCAACAAAGGGTAAGTGAAAAATGCCACATTTGCCTATTCCAGTGTTTTTCATTTATAACCAATTATTTCCCTATGTGCCAAAAATATTTTTTCTTGGTTGAACAATGGAGAGACTGGCTACTGTGTACCAGAATCCCTGTATAGGGGTGGCTTTGAGGTGTAGGTAAACCAAATTGCTTTGTAATCCTGATATTCTCAACGTAGACATATTTTTAGCAGTTCGTTAGAAGTGAACTGCTAAAATTCACTAGACAGAACTCAGATTGAACAGAATTTGAGGAAGGGAAGACAATGATTTGGCAGAAGAAAATGTTTGCTAATCAAGAAGAATTGTCAACTGTCCCTCCAAAATATAATGAGATTTACCTACCCCCAAGCATCCAAACAGCGTCAAACTAAGTCTAGATTAACAGTCTCCAAAGTAAGATAAGAACTACGATGTCCACTGAGGTCAAGAAAGAATATAAACACATTCATCTTTTTTAAATAAGAAAAACTAACATTTAATAAAAAAGTCGAGGAACAGAGAATCCCTGTCTCTGTCAGGAGGTAGAGGTATCCTGAGGAACCTCTGACAGTTCTAGAATACAGAAGAATATAAAGGCACGTCTGACTTTATTGTGCTTCACTTTATTGTGCCTCTCTCTCTTTCTTCTTCTTCTTTCCTTTCAAATTGAAGGTTTATAGCAACCCTGTATGGAATAAGTCTGCAGGCTCCGTTTTGCCAACAGCTTGTGCTCACTTCGTGTCTCTGTCACATTTTGCTAATTTTTGCAATATTTCAAACTTTTTCATTTTCATAACTTCTGTTATGGTGATCTGCAATCTGTGATTGCTGATGTTACTATTGTACTTGTTTCGGGGTGCCACAAGTTGTGCCCAGATAAGACAGCAAACTTAACTGGTAAATATCATATGTATTATTCTCACTCCACACACTGGCCAGTCTCCCATCTCTCTACCTCTCCTTGGGCCTCTCTGTTCCTTGAGGTGCAACAATATTGAAATTAGGCCAATTAAGAACCCTATAATGGCCTCTAAAATGTTCAAGTAAAAGGAAAGGTTGTGCATCTCTCTCTTTAAAAAGTAGAAATGATTAAGCTTAGTGAAAAAATGCATATTGAAAGCCAAGATAGGTTAAAAGTTAGGCCTCTTGTGCTAAACAGTTGACCACGTTGTGAATGCAAAGGAAAGTTACTGAAGAAAATTAAAAGTGCTACTCTAGTGAACACACAAAGAAAGTGAAACAGCCTTATTACTGATATAAAAAACATTTTAGTGGTCTGGATACAAGATCAAACCAGTCACAACATTCCTTTAAGCCAGTGCCTAATACAGAGCCAGGCCCTAACTCTCTTCAGTTCTGAGGAAGCTGCACAAGAAAAGTTGGAAGCTGGCAGAGGTTGGTTCATGAGGCTGAAGGAAAGCAGCTGTCTCCATAACATAAAAGTGCAAGGTGAAGCAGCAAGTGCTGATGGAGAAGCTGCAGCATGTCATCTAGAAGATCTATAGAGCGAACATCATTGATGAAGGCTATGCTAAAAAACAATTTTCAGTGAAGACAAAATAGCCTCATATTAGAAGAAAATGGCATCTAGAACTTTCAGAGACAGAGAGAAGTCAATGCCTCACTTCAAAGCTTCAAAGGCAGGCTGACTCTCTTGTTCGGAGCTACTGCAGCTGAGGACTTTAAATGGAAGCCAATACTCATGACCATTCTGAAAATCCTAGGGCTCTTAAGAATTACCGCGAATCTACTCTGCCTGTACTCCATGAATGGAACAGTGAAGCCTGGATGACTGCGTATCTGCTTACATGGCTTTCTGATTATTTTAAACTCACTCTTGAGACTTACTTCTCTGAAAAAAAAAGATTTTTTTCAAAATATTACTTCTCAGTGATAATGCGCCTGGTCACTCAAAAGCTCTATGGATATTTACAAGGAGATTAATGCTATGACTGCTAACACAACGTCCAATCTTCCGTCCATGGAAAAGGCGTTATTTCAGCTTTCAAGTCTTGTTATTTAAGAAATACATTTTGTAAGGCTATAGCTACCATAGATAGTGATACCTTTGATGGATCCAAGCAAAGAAAATTGAAAACCTCTAGAAAGGAGTCACCATTCTAGATGCCATCAAGAATATTTGTGAATCATAAAAGGAGGTCCACATTAATAGGAGTTTGGACAAAGCTGATTCCAACCCTCATAGATAACTTTGGGAGGTTCAAGACTTCAGTTGAGGAAGTAATTGCACATGTGGTGGAAATAGCAATAGAATTAGAATAAACAGTGGAGCCTGAAGACAAAATTGAATTGCTATAATCTCATGATAAAACTTTTGGTCGGGCGTGGTGGCTCAAGCCTGTAATCCCAGCACTTTGGGAGGCCGAGGCAGGTGGATCACAAGGTCAAGAGATCAAGACCATCCTGGTCAACATGGTGAAATCCCATCTTTACTAACAAAAAAAAAAAAAAAAATACAAAATGTTAGCTGGGTGTGGGTGCGTGCCTGTAATCCCATCTACTCAGGATGCTGAGGCAGGAGAATTGCCTGAACCCAGGAGGCGGAGGTTGTGGTGAGCCAAGATCGTGCCATTGCACTCCAGCCTGGGTAACAAGAGTGAAACTCCGTCTCCAAAAAAAAAAAAAAAAAAAAAAAAAAAAAAAAACTTTCACGAGATGAGTTGCTTCTTACAGATGAGCAAAGAAAGTGGTTTCTTGAGATGGAAACTACTGCTGGTGAAGATATTGTGAATACTGCTGAAATTAGAACAAAGGATTTAGAATATTACATAAACTTAGTTAATAAAGTAGTGGCAGAGTTTGAGAGAACTGATTCCACTTTTGAAAGAAGTTCTACTGTGAGGAAAATGCTATTAAACAGCATTGCTTGCTGCATGGAAATCTTTCATGAAAGTCAACTGATATGGCAAACTTCATTGTCATCTTATTTTAAGAAATTGCCATAGCCACTCCAGCCTTCAGCAACCACCTCCCTGATCTGTCAGCAGCCATCAACATCAAAGCCAGACCTTCCACCAGTAAAAAGATTACAACTCACTGTGTACTATAAACATAACTTTTATATGCACTAGGAAACCAGAAAATTTGTGTGACTCACTTTATTGTGATATTCACTTTATTGTGGTTGTCTGCGACTGAACCCACCATATCTCTGAGGCATGCCTGTTTTCATTCATTTCAATACTGTTAAAATGGGTATTAACAAATAAGAATGTTTTTTTTGGCCAGAAAATGACATGGCCTCTTTAAATACTTATGTGGGAAATTTTGTAAGCTTAAACAAAGTCTCTAAACAGTTTATGGAGTTTTGAATCCATTTGGTACAAAATTCATAATTACTACATCTTCCAATTATTTTGCAAGAATAAAATAGCTGAAGAACATCAGGGAGGGTAGAAAATTACTGGGCACATTTCAACAAAAGCTTTGGCATAGTTGGTGGATGCCAAAGTTTTTGTTGAAATGTGCGCAGTAATCATAGTTAAAGAGGTATTTCATCTACTGGATCTATGTATCAATATGTGGCATATTTTCAGTTACAATATTATAACCAACATAAAATTGCAAAATTGTAGACAGTAATAAAGCATTTCAATTGTATTGTTATTACATGAACATATTCTTATGTTAATTATATAATATGGTATACTATATATCATACATGTTAATACAATTTTAGGGAAAATGTTTTTGTGTCATTCACAAACAAAATACAATTTATTGGAAGCATGCAGTGGCTCATGCCTGTAATCCCAGTACTTTGGGAGGTCAAGTACAGGCTCATGCCTGTAATCCCAGTACTTTGGGAGGATCACTTTGAGCTTAGGAGCTTGAGGCCAGCCCGAGTAACATGGCAAAAACTTGTTTCTACAAAAAAATTAGCCAGGCGTGGTCATGCACACTTGTGTGGTCCCAGCTACTCGGGGAGCTAAGGCTACAGAATCCCTTGAGCCTGGGATGCAGAGGATGCAGTGAGCCAAGATAGTGCCACTGCACTCCAGCCTGGGTGACAGAAGAGACCCTATTCTCTTCCACCAAAAAAAAAAAAAAGCAAAATACAATTTATGTAAATTAAAGGAAGGAGGGGTGGGGAGAGCAACTGTGTCAAATGCTGACAGGTCAATGAAGACGAATGTATCATTGGTGACCTTGATAAAAGCAGTTTGGTGGAGGGTTTGAGACATAAGCCTGATCAAACAGGGAATGAGACAGGAAATGAGAGAGAGTTTATATACATAAGTCTACTGAAAAGCTTTGCCACAGAGAAATGTAGCTATACCAAAAAAAGTTTGGTTTTTGGTTTTGAAGAGGGAAATGGAAACATTTCTATATTTTGATAAAAATGATACAGTAGATAAAAAAAAAAATAACGAGGAGAGAAACCTGAGAATTCCTGGAATGAAATCCTTGAAAAAACAAAATGGAATGGGATCCACTGCACAATTAATAAGAGCTTCTAGATTGGAGCAAGGATCATTTATAATAGGCAGAAAAGCAAAATATACAGTATTATGTGTCATAAGACTGGAAACTGCTCCTTGGGCTGCTACAATTCTCTCTGTGAGGTGGAAGGAAAGGTCATCAAATGGGAAGGACTGTGGAGGTCTAAGAAAGCATGAAATAGATGGATGGCTGGGATTTTTTTCCCCCTATGTTTAAGAGGCATGTGCATTTTATTTTCGGCAAACTCTGCCTTTTTGTTTATTTTACCCATTTTTTTTTAAAAATAAAAGGTTGTTGCTATTTTATTTAGTGGCGCTCCTTATAATTTAAGAAAATTAGCTCTTAGTTTGTGATATATTTTGAATTTTTCCTAGTTTGTCATTTGTGGTTTTGCTTTATTTATGGCACTTTTTACCAAGCAGAATTTTAAATGCTTTTATATGATTAAATTTATCTATCTTTTCTTTTGTGTTGCTTCTCAGTTTTGTTCTATGCTTAGAAATGTCGACCCAACTACCATAAAAAAATTCCCTCATATTTTCTTTTGGTGATTTTTAAGGCTTCACATTTAATGTATAAATCTTATATCCAACTGCATGTTATTTTATGTATAAAGTATAGTTGGAATATCCCAATATCATTTCTTGACTAATTTATCTTTCTCCACTCACATACAAAGCCACTATTTCATATATTATATCCCCATGTAGTGGGTTATTTATGTGATTTGAATTCAGTTCTATTAAATTGCCTGTCTATTTATGTCAGTACTGCAGTTTTAATTATTGTTGTTTGTTTTAATATGTTTTAGAACTAGTCCTCCCTTAGAATTATTGTTTTTAGTATTTTCTCTATATTTTGATTATTTTTCTATATGAATTTTAGACTCAGTGTGTCTACTTCCAAAACAAATCCTATTGCTATTTTTTATTGCAATCATGTCAACTATATAGACTTAGAGAATTTTGCTCTCTTTAAGATGTCCAGTCTTCCTATCCCAAATCAAAACTTCTTAGATTATACCTTCTCTTGTGGTCACTGGCAGTGTTTAAAAGTTGCCTTTAGGGCGGGTGCGGTGGCTCACACCTGTCATCCCAGCACTTTGGGAGGCCGAGGTGGGGGGATCACCCGAGGTCAGGAGTTCAAAATCAGCCTGGCCAACATGTGAAACCCTGTCTCTACTAAAAATACACAAATTAGCTGGGCATTGTGGCGGGCATCTATAATTCCAGCTACACAGGAGGCTGAGGCAGGAGAATTGCTTGAACCCAGGAAGAGGAGGTTTCAGTTAGCTGAGATTGTGCCATTGCACTCCAGCCTGGGTGACAGAGCAAGACTTCATCTAAAAAAAAAAAGTTGCCTTTATATAGATATTGCATGATTTTAAATTCCGTTCTTAAGTGCATTTTGTGTTTGTTACTATTTTAAGTAGAGTCTTTATTTCTGATCTCTCTTTTCACAGGAGAGTGAAAATTTTTAAATCTTGTCACTATCTTGCTTAAAACTCTTCATTGGATCCCCAGTGTGTTTTAAAAAATCTGAACTATTTGCAGTGACCCATAGGCCTGATACTATCTGGACTCACCCTGTCTCATACCATCTTCTCGTTGCTCATTACACTCCATCCACACTAACTCCTTTTTGTTTATTAATAATACACCAGACCCTTTCTCATCTCTAAGTTTTACATATGCTGTTTCTTCCTTCCCTTGGTCCTCTCATGGCTAGCTTATTCTCATCCTCCTCAGAGAGGGCTTCCCTGACCGCTCCATCAAAAATGGCCTCTCTTAGGGTGTTACTATTTTATCATCCTATTTCTTTCCTTCATTGCACTAAGAATTCCTCATATCTTTTTAGTTTGTTTACTTGATCACTCTCCATTTTCCCCACTACAAAATACCTGTCTGTTTTCTCTATGGTATTCTAATAACATCATGCATAGTGCCTGGCATATCTCAGGTGCTCAAAAGTATTCAGTGTATTGATTGAAAATCAATGTCTGCTATCACACTTTTGGAGAAGAGAAAACGGAACAATAACTGGTGCTATATACAGAACTTGATTCTTACCTGCTACTTTTTGTGTCAGATTCACACAGAAAAATCCTGGCTATTGATTTATAATAGAATTATATTTGAAATATGCAATTTTCATAGGAAATGAAAAATCTTTCCTGAAATTCAAACTAAATACATTGAAAATAAAATGATGACTTCAGTAGATCTCTAATATGTCAACTTGCTGATAAAATATATATTAAGTATAATTGGTCTTACTGTCTCATTTGGAAACTTGTGATTCCTATTAAAAAATATTAAAGTGCCATTATAAATAAACTATTAGAGGGTGATTCTAAGTAAACAATTTGTCTAATTAATGTTTATCTTTTTGATGTAGAATGAGGCAATACACAAATCATCAAAATATTCCCAGAAGCTAGAGAATCATCAATTTGGCAGCAGTCATTTATTTAAGGTTAAGTTAAAAACAAGATATTATCAAAGTTATTTATTTACATTTTTGAGTGTTCAGTCCAGTAAACATTTAAAAATTTCTCATGGTGAGAACAATTTCAAAGCATGCATTTTTTTCCAAGCTAATAGGAATGAAAGGGCATTTATATAGTATCTGTAGGCTTATAGGTCCTAATCCCTGTGTGAAGTGAGTGGGCTCAGAAACACTTGGGCACCCAGGGAGTAAAGGACAGAATCACAGGATTGGATGTATGGAGCCAAGCAAACTATTCTGAGTGAAATGTATGCACTATTGAAACACAGTATTCGTAACCAAAAATGTTATAATCCAGCTCTAAAGGCTTCAGCTGCAGGTGCCATAAGGAAGAGGGGCACTGTTAAACTGGAGTGTGTTGAGAGGACAGCTCCAAGGTAGAAGGAAGTTGTTACAGTGGTTAAAACTGAAGAAGCAAAAACTCATAGGGATGTGTTAGAAATGTCAAAATACTTGTGGGACGGCTCTTTGTGGTAAAAAGTAACCAGTAGATGGAAGGATTTGGGGAGGCAGAAAACAAAATTAGAGGGTAGTCAGCTCTTAATTTCTCTCAGAGATATTAAACAGAAACCATACGTTGGGAATGTCAAGGAAAGGGCTGACATACAGGGTCCAGACAAACTAGATGACCTTGGCAATCACTTCCAACCTTTGCACTTATAACTAGTTCATATTTCTGTGCAATGGCTAGTTGAGTTCCTGATTTAATGAATAACCTAGTCTGGGTAACTTTCAACAATAAAGTTCTCTGTCTTCTGCAGATTTTAATCAGGGTATAAATTGTCTTGCTTTTGTTTATAAGTTGAAACAAGTATTTGTCCCTCCTGGCCATATAGTGTTAATTTCTTGACTCAAATTTCTATAAACAAATTTATCTCCAGTATAATATATATTATAATATAACATACATTATATATATATATGACTTTAAGTCTCAAAGACAAAATTGTTCTTAGATTAAAAACCAGCAACAATCCCTGAATTGAGAACAATGTCTATGACATTTCCTAAAATTCACCTTTTGGGCTAAGGAGATACACACCCTTTTGGTGAGATACTCGATCTTTTAAGGAGGTACTTAAAAGAAGTACTCACCCTTTTGACTTACTTGCCCTTTTAAGGAGATACTCACCCTTTTGGCTGACGCTATCACAGCAAAGCAGGCGATAATTGTGAGTCCAATCATTATGTAACAAACTTTCACTCGAGCTTTGTTTCTTGCAGTGTCTATCATTTCTGGCCTAAATGAAGATGTGTATTCTGTTAAATATGTAAAAGTAATATGGTTGTCTGACAGGCTTGATACATAATTTTCTATGTAAACATTCCAAAAAATTCCCTGACTGCAAACTACATTTGGTGACATTTTCATGTGTAAGACTTTGAAATGCTAGTCGGTTATTCTACCAATTTCAAATTAACAAGTATTTATTCATATCCTAAACTAATGTTAGCCATTATCAAACTACTGTATAGTATATTTAGTTTCTAATTCCTCAAAATATAACTACTAGAAATGCTAACTTGACTCTCCATTGTTTTTATTCACTAAGTGGGGTAAAGGAAGAGTTAAAGCATATGTACATCTGTGACTCACAATTATTTAGACTCTTTGTTAAGTAGGCTTTGTTTTCCTTTTGAACAGTTTCTTTTTTTTTAAACTCATTTTTATCACTTTGTTTTTTTCACTGGACTCAAAATCCCTTGTCCCTTCACATGCTGTCCCCAAAAGAGACCATTACCCAGTTTGTGAGAATGTCTGTTAGAAAAATGATGTTTTCTTCATGGCTTTTGCAAGAATTAAAAAAAAAAAAGTGATTAAAATTACAATAATTTGCCAAAGAAAAAGATAAAAGAGACCTCCATTTTCCTATTATTATTTTGAAATGTGATATACTTAAGTTCTAGATAGTCTTATTCATTCTTCGTTTTATGCATGTTGTCTGAGATTTTAATAGTGCTACTTACAAAGTGGTGACACAAAAGGCATCATGCCTGTGGGGCTTTTACATTGAAATAAACTAAGAAGTGGCAGTTTCTAAATATGCATATTTAAAGCATTTGATTTGTGAGAATATATTCATTGGCATTCTTTTTTCTCTTTGTGAAGTTTAAATACAGTATAGTTACATTGAAAAAAAAAAATCCAGAAAGACAAAGTTGTAATTTATCTTAAAAACAGAAAACTTTTTAACTTTTCCACTGGTTGAAAAAGACCATAGAAAATTACTATCTTTCCCATTTTCTTTAGATTTTAGGCAGAATGATGTAAGTTTTAAGATGTGAGTTGCAAACAGGTTCAATTAGTGAGTATAGAGAAATTATTAGATTATATTTGCTGCTAACTTTTGTTCCAGATGGAACCTAGAAGCTCTGATCTTTTTTACCCAGCCAGTTGGCTTTAATCTATTATAACAAATTAGTTTAGCACTGAGAAAGACAAGACAAAGTACACTTATTATTAAATGTAATTAGTGTATAATACAAAAATTATAGGTCACCTGTTCATTATATGTCCATTAAAGGGTAAAAGTTGTTTACATTGTAACACTTAGCTTAACAGGAATATCTCTCTTAAATAGCAATGTTTAAAAAAATTATAGAAAAATAATAAAAATGAAAAATACTCAAATACTTTTAAATTTCCGATCCAAAACTGCAATGCTTTTTATAGGCATCTTGTTCTTAGTGAAATAAATGCTCCTGTTTATAATACTTTTTTTTGACTTTGATCTTGGGGGAAATTCATTATTTCTGTAAAATTAGTCTCTTCACACATGCAGCTATGTTAAATGCAATACTGGTCATAGGTTTTCTTGACAAACAATATAATGCTGGTTCTTTAGACTCTTGATTACTCGTTTAGGCCATGGAAATAAAAATTCAAACAAATCGAAGATAGTGGCTTATTTATTTATCTTTTTACTAATTTGTTTGGCATTCAATGTATTAAATTTTCAGACATCAATTAAACTTTGAATTTGATAACCAGAGCTTATGATGAGAAAGGCTTTTCTGAATCTAATTTTTGCCTTCAGCTAAGTCTGTAGTTTGAAGTCTATAAATCTCAAGGAAAATTAATCTTAGGAAGTGTCTCTATAGTTGAATAAATATTGAAAGCAGATGCAAATGCTATGTTATTTCCAATTTCATGTCCATTCCTCATTAAGTGACCTGATCCAATAAAAGAATGAAAACGCCTCAGAGTTCAGTATTGAGTGTACATTTCCCGCCGTGTTGTCCCACCCCGTCCCTCCCCATCTATCTGAGATGCTTTGGTAACTGATAAACTGCAGTTGTTTATAAACAATAACATTGCAGGCACCATGTGAAGAACAGGAATACAGGCCCAGTTTTCATTATCCATTCTAATATATCCATTTTAATAGGCATTCATTACATTGTACAAATATCCTGTATCTCTAAAATCCTTCTTACACGTTATGGCTTTAGTCTATTTTTTTTTTTAAAGTTAAACTTGAAAAGCCGTACATTGATTTTATTCTTAGTTTCCGTCCCTCTCCTTTTTAGCCAATCCCTTGTAAAAATGCTGTGAAGGTTTTTGGGCTTGGCAGAAACAGAAACTTTGGAAAGATTTTTTTTACAGGTTACATTTACTTATTATTAGCATTTATTTTACAGGTTACATTACCCTAGAGGGGGAGTTACTAGCTTGAGTTTTATCAACTGTCTTGGTGGGTTTAGCATGTTGAAGAGGCCAACAGTGCTGACACTCTCTCGCGTCTCCCGCAGAGTAAACTGTAGCCTAGAGGGCTGCAGACCCGCGTCAGCCAGGCGTCTCCTGCCCCAGAAGAGGAGGCCGCGTGGATGCAGCTTTTTTCCAGAGACCCTCCAGCCGCCCCGCAAACCATGATCAGGGAACCCCTTCCTTGGGTGGAGTAGCGGGACGCCCCCGACCAAAGCCGGTATTGCCGTCTGGCGTCCCCGCAGCCATCCAGATGCTCGCGAGGACCCTGCCCCGTTTGGCACAAAAGTCCCACTGCCTCCCCGCCCCGAGCTTGCTGGGGAAGGGGACAGGCGATCTGGGCAACGCTGAAAGTGTCCACCGAACCTCTCGCTTTTCGCCCTTCTGCAATCTCCCTGTAAGCTTAGTTGACCTCTTGGTTACTAGCTGCACTGGAGTAGTAGTGCGGCTAGTAGCCAAGAGGTCAACTAAGCTTACAGGGAGATTGCAGTGTGTGTAGGTAAATTTACCGTGTGTGTAGGTAAATTCCGTGTGGTGGGTGTTATTGCGAAGTGTTGGCACTGCGGCCGCTTTCGCTCCCAGGTGGCCGCGGTCGGTGGGTGGGTGACCCCGCACCCTCGCGGCCTGGGCCCGACTCTCCTTCGCGCCGCGGTCGCCACACTTACGGGACCCGAGGCGGGATCTCCTCCATCGATCTGAAACGCCCGGTCCACACCAGGATTTTCTTGTCGAATTGCGAAGGCTTGTGCTGCGCAGGGACTCCGTGAACCTCCCCTGCGGCGAAAGCAACCCAGATGGAGGCGTGGACCGACAGACCCGCACAGAGGATCAGCGGGAGCTCAAGCCGACCCCCGGGCCAGACCCTCGCCGCCCTCCCGCAACCTCCTCCCTCCCAGGACCACCCCGTCCGAACCCTGGCTCACCGCGACCTTTGGGCGCAGAATTGCTGGGGGGCGCGCCGCTGGAGTAACAGGCGAGACCCCAGGGCGGAAGAGCAGGTGCGGGTCGCCGCGTGGCCTCGACAGGCGTCCCGGGGGCGCAGCGGACTGTTACCCCGCGGCCGAGGCGCAGTAGGCTCCCGACCGCAGAGAACATGCTGCCTGCTAGTCCCGCTCCGCACCCGCACTTCCCGGCCCAGCCACGGGCGTTCTCCCTGCAGCTCTCCCCGCCCGGGCCCGGCCCGCCGCGCCCTGGAGAGCCTGGGATGAGCAGCTGGAACCCCTGGCGCTCGTACACTCAGCTCCCTGTCCCCGCCTCCGCCCCCGTCCGGCGATCCCGGATCTGGGCGTCTAGTCCCTAGGGGCTGGTTCCCCAGGGAGCAGCCTGCCTCTGTTTGAAACAGGCTCACCACCGCCTGAGACAGTGCGTGCGGCTCCTTTTAAATTCTCTGTATTGAGCAGAAATGTGTTTCTGCCAGGCTTTTAGCCTTTGATTCTGTCGTTTGTTCCCCAGGAGAATAAATCCAAATCCTCTCCTACAGGAAGAGACAACAATCATTCAAGTGCAGGAAACTTCAGACGTTTATCAGTTAAGTGTAAGACACTCTACGAACTTCTGGATGAGAGTTTTTGAAGTTAGCTCCTCACTTCCTCCTCTCCCACCCCAGCGTCTTTCCTCTTTCCTACGGAAAACAACTTCAGTTCCTGCATCTGTCTTTCTCGATCTTTTCTTCTCCTTTTCAGAGACAGTCTCTGGCTCTGTCACTCAGGCTGGAGCGCAGTGGCATGCTGATAGCTCATTGTAACCTCGAACTCCTGGACTCAAGTAATCCTCCCGCCTTAGCCTCCGGAGTAGTTAGGGCTTTGGTTGTGTGCTCTGCTATTTTTTTTTTTTTTTTTTTTTTTTAAGAGATGGGATCTCATTATGTTGCCCAAACTGATCTCCAACTCCTGGCCTCCAGCTATCCCCTGGGCTCTGCCTCCTAAAGCACTGGGATTACAAGTAGGAGCTGACATGCCAGCCCCGCCCTACCTCTTCATATCTTTGCCCACAAACTCTCCACACTCCCTCCGAAATGTGCCTTTCTTCTGTCACCTTCCACCATCTCCTCTCTGCTAAAAGTAAAAGAATCTACTATTTTCAGGCATTAAATGGTAACAGGGATTCAGAATCAGTGATTAGAGAGAAGAGTTGTACAAGGAAATTATTTATGTTGTTCCACAGACAACAGATCTCCTGCCAAGTCAAAGTTCTCATCAGCTCAGCACCAGCCCCAGCTCACCCTCCTCTCCTATTGCTGCCTGTGAGGTTCCCTCCTTATCTAGACAATGCTTTTCACTTGTTGGATTTCTAGATATTTTTCTTTCTTTCTTTTTTTTTAAATTTTTTATTGGATTTTAGGTTTTGGGGTACATGAGCAGAGCATGCAAGACAGTTGCGTAGGTACACTCATGGCAGTGTGCTTTGCTTTCCTTCTCCCCTTCACCCACATTTGGCATTTCTCCCCAGGCTATCCCTCCCCACCTCCCCCTCCCACTGGCCCTCCCCTTTTCCCCCCAATAGACCCCAGTGTTTAGTACTCCCCTTTCTGTGTCCGTGTGATATTTTTCTTTCTAACTAGCTCTCAGGGTCTTGAAGGCAATAAGTTTTCTGTAACTGCCAGGCCAGGTTTCTTTCTTTTTTTTTTTTTTTTTTAATATAACAGCGTTAAACAAAAAAGGAGGGTTGAATAACTCTGTGAAGACATACATTTAGAGGAGTGCTTGTAGAAGGAACATGAGCTTTGCCTTCACACCTGGGTTTAAATCCCAGATTTGTGACCTAAAAGTTGCACAACATCATGAGCAGTAAATCAGTTAAGTTATAAGTCTTGGTTTCATTTGTAAAACCAGAATTCCTGTCTTGTAAGTTTATTCCTGCAATGACTACCAGTAATCAACTATGTGCCAGCTACCTCTCAGAGCTGGGGATAGAACAGTGATGCCATCAAGTGAGGCTGAAGAAAAATAAAACAGGGTGACAAAAAAAAAAGCAGGAGTAGAGTGAGAAGCTGTTTAGAAAGCCTGGAATGTCCCTCTAAATGTGACTGGCATGTAGTAATACTTCTGAAGATATGATTTATTTCCCTTCACATTCTTTAGTCCCAGAACACAAGGGCATTTTAATATATGTAATCTCTCATGGGGACTTAGGAGCTCCCTACCTTTCAGGATTTGTTATTATATTCCAAACATTTAGCTGAAAAATTCACACTTACTAGATATTTAGTAAGTATTGTTAAATAAATGAATAGATGAATACAGGTCTTCAAAAATAGAGTAGTCTATACCTAGGCTAGTTTTAGAAAAGACTGAGATGCTTGAGGAGAATCTATGTCCTTCTAGACTTCATACATCCAGTGTCTATCATGTTGCTTACTACATAGCAGTCTCCAAGTAAATATTTATAAAACTCAACTTAATGAATTCCTGCTTCGGAAAGTAGGTTGCCATAGCTAGTACTGCTCCAGCATTATGCTACTTGAAGATTCTTCCATTATTTAAATGTGTTTTGTTTTTTTCTTTTAGTATTTTATTTGTCTTCACATCACTGAGAAGGAATATCCATACAGCTAGAGGAAGCCACCTCTGAGAAACAACCTATCATTAGTAATTCACCAAGAAATATTAAACAAGGGAAATAAGTTTATTTCCCTGGAGAGAGTCAAATGTCATACATACACTCAGGATTTTCTATTTCGAGCTTCTCCAGTATTGCAGAACTACAAGACAAGAGAGTAAGCTCAAGTCATGAGAGAAAGAACAATTTGTATTCTGTTCTCTATCCCTGATGGGATTAAAATATCACTGTTTGGCAGTGGTCTACATAAAATAAATTACTTACAGCTGCATTAGATATTTTTCAGTTCTATAATTAGAACAAGTTAAAACATTTGAAACAACTTTTAATAGAATAATACACCAATTATATGCCTTTATTTCTTTTTCTAATGAGGATGGCACTTTTTTTTTTTTTGATGTCGTTTTTTCCTGTTGCCCAGGCTGGAGTGCATTGGCATGATTTCAGCTCCTGCAACCTCCATCTCCCAGGTTCAAGTGATTCTCCTGTCTCAGCCTCCCAAGTAGCTGGGATTACAGGTGCCCATCACCACATCTGGCTAATTTTTGTAGTTTTTAGTAGAGACAAGGTTTTACCATGTTGGTCAAGCTGGCCTCAACTCCTGACCTCAGGAGATCCACCTGCCTCAGCCTTTGAAAGTGCTGGGATTAGAGGCATGAGCCACCATGTCGAGCCAGCACATTTATTCACTAAACAAACTTAGACTGAGTGCTTCCTATGTACTGGATACTCTTCTAGTTTCCAGCTAGAGGTTATAGCAGGTAACCAAACAAAAATCTCTTTCCATTACAGAGCTTATTAATCCATGTGGTTTCAGTTTACTCACTCCGTTCTGTTTTCCTTCCTTCCTTCCTTCCTTCCTTCCTTCCTTCCTTCCTTCCTTCCTTCCTTCCTTCCATCTTGTTCCATCACCAGGCGCCAGGCTGGAGTGCAGTGGCGCGACCTCGGCTCGCTGCAACCTCCACCTCCCGGGTTCAAGCAATTCTCCTGCCTCAGCCTCCCAAGTAGCTGGGACTACAGGTGTGCGCTACCATGCCCAGCTAATTTTTGTATTTTTACTAGAGACGGGGTTTCACCATCTTGGCCAGGATGGTCTCAATCTCTTGACCTCGTGATCTACCCACCTTGGCTTCTCAAAGTACTGGGATTACAGGTGTGAGCCACCGCCGGCGAGTTCTGTTATTTTTCAATTCAAAGGTTCATGTAATTTGCAGTTTATTTGAACATATGATAGTCAGTATTGTTCCTTCAAGCCTTGTTTTTGATTAGAATGGCTCATATTTCCATTTCCTATATCTAATTTAGTTAATTAAGATACACTGTTATACCTAGGACTAGATTTTAAATAAAGTAATTCCATAAACACTGGAGAGTGTGGGTAGTTTTGTGTTTTTTTTTTCCCCCTCAGTTGGAAGCGTTGTGCTTCTTGCTAGGCTAAGGCAGAGGATACAAAGATAGAGCTGCAGAGCTGCCCCCAAGGCGCTCTCAGTGTGGCTGGGATGAGGTTCCCTCGTCAGCAAATGACCTGCTCCCAAAGGAAGGCCTTAGAGGGACCTTAACTAACTTGTTTTCCAACTCCCTTTTAGTCTCTCTGTAGGGAAAGTTCTAAAGTGACAGTCTATCTCTAGACTCTGCTCATAGGGGTCCCTAGTGCTTGGGGTAACCTTATTAAGTGGGTGGTCCAGATGAGGACTAAGCATACACTTAAGACACCAACCACAGAAAGGGCACTGAAAACATGAAGGAGTGTTTTGAAATTATTTTGAAATTTAGAATTAAGAATAAAAATTCATGAGAGCACCAGCATGTGTAAAATGTCCTCATGCTTGTGTTCTAAATATATATTTACATATGGGCTGATGAAGGCCATAGTATTTTCAGCACTGAGGATGCCAAAGATCTTAATTTGGCCTGAGTTCTTAGGGTCAGAGCTTATGGTAACATCAAAACTTGGTCTGGTTGTGATATAAACCAGATATGATTTATAGAAACCATAAATCAGATCATCTGTTTATTCTGGCAAAACATTCCAGTGGTTCCAAGCACACTGTGTTTAGAATAAAACGGAAACTCTTTACTGGGGTCTACAGGGCCCTGTATGACCTGAACCTGCGTAACTCTCCAAGCTCAATTCCAGCCACTCTCTTTTTTTCTGTATGGTCCAGTCACACTGGTCTCCTCTGACTTTCTCAAGCAGCAAAAGCCTTCTCTCATTTCAGGGTCTTTGCATTTCCTTTTTCCTCACATGCTCACCTTTTTCTCATTTTTAAGGTCTCAGTATAGCTGTCACTGCCTCCTAAAGGCCTTTCCTGTCCATCCTAGCAAAAGTTGCCCTACCCCTCCTCCCACCCTCAATTTCATCACCTTTTTTTTTCCTTAGCAGTTGCCATTCTCTGTGTTTTTGCATATGTACTTTGTCTTGGAATGCAATCTCCATGACCAGTGAAATGATGGTCTTGGGGCATCACTATATGATGGTCAGCACAGTACCTAGCACATTTGCAGATTTTCAAATGTGTATTGGATAAAAGAATGAACGGATGACAGATATTGCCTGATCTCATTCCAACAAAGCTCTCAAAGAAGAAGATACTCTTAACTCTGTCCATTTTTGTCTTTTCCTGTTCATACCTCAGCTCTTGGTGGTCTGGCTCTTTGCCCCATAGTTCTGCTCAAAATAAGATATCAAACAAGATCAATGAACTCTACTTACAGATCTTCATGTTACTCCTCTTGATTCCCAGTTTTATTTTTGTAATTCAGTCTTTTATTTTCTCTCAAACATCTAATTATAATGACCTCCAAAGTATTTTCCCCATCTCTGGTTAATTATTTCTCCAATCCTTCCTTTGCATAGCCTGCAGAGAGCTTTCTAAAACATGGTTGTAATCATGTAAAACTTTCATGGTGCCAACCTCTTCCCTATTCTTTCTCTAACCCTAACTCCCAAACCTCTATCCACAGAATACAAAACAGCCCTGATGCTGGGCATAGTGGCTTATACCTATAATCCTAACACTATGAGAGGCCAAGTTGGGAGGATTGCTCGAGCCCGGGTGTTCCAGATCAGCCTAGGCAATATAATGAGACCTCATCTCTAAACAAAATTAAAAAATGAGCTGGGTATGGTGATGCATGCCTGCAGTCCCAGCTACTCAGGAGGCTTAGGTGAAAGGATAACTTGAGCCTGGGAGGCAGAGGT